TTGGTTGACTATGAAATATGCATACGGACGAAAAGTTGCGAGGTCAACACAGTGGCTAAAGCCTTCAATGTCGGTAGAAAAAGATTGGGTGTGGGAAGTAGGTGAATGGAGAGAGAGAGAGAGGCCACACTGAGACTCTGCTCCGTCTCCATTTGTCCTCCAGACTTTGCTCCGGCTGTCTCAAGGTCCCGAATGCTATAGGCACGCAGATTGTGAAAACCAACAGCTTCGCCAATCTCGGTAATGAAAGCAGCCATGTCACCGCCGTTGTCCTGCCAACCATCACCTTCAGCTCCCGTGTCACCATCACTACACATGGCCTCATCTCAGCTAACAGAGCCTGAAAATAGTATTTAGTTTGGAAGAAGTTGCTTGACCTTGTTTTCGCAACTTGGTCATGTCGGTAGGAAGACTCAGAGGAACGCACCTTGTCCGAAGTCCATCGTATGCATCATCATTTCCAGAGTAGGACCGTGGACGTGGTACATTCCCTGGAAATGATGATGCATACAATGGACTTCGGACTAAATGTGTTTCTCTAAGTCTTCCAAGTTGCGAAAACAGAGTCAAACAACTTCTATGCAACGAAAGGAGTCTGCGACCACACAAAAGGCCGCACCATCCTGGTCTTCATACCTTCGAGTATTTAATTTGGTTTATTTAAAGGCTCATCATATATTCTTGTGGAAAACCGACTCATTTTAGATAGGGAAAAGATGTGTTGAGGAATATCTTGACTTACGATGATTAAAATCACTTCCATTTGTGTGAAAGTGGCTCTAATGTGTCTGAAGTGTGCGTGTGTGTGTGTGCTTATGAGTTTCCGTGTCACGACCGACTATCGGTAGGCTCTACTGGAACCTTGTGTTTGGTACAGTTCTTGGGACAGCCTCGTTCGTTTTTTGACGAAAACGTGCCGAACTCTGCTGACGTCTGTCGGGCGGAAGCTGAAATTGTCAACCTGAAGGTTCCATTTAAGCGAAACGACAGATAGTCAAGAAGACTCTGCAATCGTCGTCTGGTGGGACTGAGCCACGAATTTCTTCGTCACATACACGCCAAACACACATGACATTGGGACAAGTGTGCTTTTCTGTTCGCTCTTGAGCTGGCCAGGGTTTGACTCGTAGTTATGCACAACAAGATTGTGTGACCCTTATTTTGGTCGTAGTCTGTGCCCGCTGTTTGCCCTCGTTCTCAAAACTTTGTTCTGTTGCATTTGTGGTATGAAACGCTTGTGGAAGATCATAAGAAATGGCTTTTTGATTGAAACGTCTAGAGTGTCTGGAAACGAGTGAAATCAGTCAATGCGATGAGATAATAAGCGAATCTTCGAGGACAGAAGAGAGATTCTGATAGGAATTGAACGAAGTGGTTTGCGATCTGAAAAGTCTTAGTCAGATCAGTAATTTCGGCGAATAAGAGATTTGGGGATACAGTAAACCGGCAGGTATGATAACGCCTCAGTGACTTCACGAAAGTCGTAGAAGTTGACCAAGTAAGAAGTTGTGACAAGTTAGAGACGAAGTGAGGTACAAGGATAAGAGATAGATTGAGGAATGATGCCACAGACGTTTGGCAGAAAGTTGTAGTCTATTGGCATGATTGTCAGAGCCTAGTGATGATGCTAACTAAAAAGGGTGACGAAACGTCTGCGAATGTAGCAAGTGCACGATCAGAGGTGCAAATTATCATAACTTTGGACAAGCTGCCTTCTTCTGGGTCGGAGATTTATATCCATCTTTTCTGTTCAACCGGAAAAGAGAAGTCCAAGTCTACTCGAGTTAGCGACAGGTACGTCAGAATATGCAACAAGCTTGATAAA